CTTATGCACGCACACACGCACACATACACACACATACGTGTGGAAATGTTGTCACCATGAATGAGGCAACAGCTTCTGAGCTCAAGGTTACAAGGCAATAAAACAGTTTGGCGTACTTCATGGGAAGACTTTTGTTTAGCCGAGGAACGAAACCACGCTTCCGACCGGGGGCTTGAATTTGAATTCTGCTCATCCATAGAAATCAGGCACCAGAGGACAAACAAGGTCACATATCCAGTGTTTTCTTACGAGGATAGTGGAGCAGAAAAGAAGATTTGAATAGGCGCCACCGTTTCCTAAAGCAGGGCTCTCAACCACTCAGCCAATTTTCATCACTGGTCACAAACAACAGCATTGTTTCGGACCGGAGTCCCCGGTTCCCAGGGAGGAACACTGTACCTCCTCAACACTCGGCTCCCTTTGGAGTTGTCCCTCCTTGTCGCGGGGTAATTACTGTAACTGTCACTTTTTTTGTTCTTTCTCATCGAAGGAAGAAAATGGAAAGTCTTTTCTTTCCCCCCGAGCTCTTCATTCTTTTGGCCGTCCCCTCCACTGCCGCCCCGCGTGTGCGGCGTAAACTGTGTCCACTTCAATTACGACCTAATTTCTGAGTGGAGGGGGGCTCTGCGGGGGGGCTAGTCTACTGGCATGCCGCTGCGTGTGTGTGTGTGTCCGTGATGGCATGTGTGGCTGTGCATGTGTTGTGAGTTGGGGGCAAGACCTGAGGATGGGCTGTTATTGGGTGAGTGTCGTCCTGTCCGGACCATAGCCCTCTCTCTCATCCAGTGGCCCCCCGCCATCAGAAGATACACGAGTAAACAAACACCCATCTCGAGCCTCCATACGCCATGCTTCATTAACGCACCCCCTGCTTCCCACTGTGCATCCTTACCCCTCCCTCTAGTTTCTAGTGTTTTCCAACTTGTCTAGTTTGTGTTTTTCTTCCTCCAGTGCAACATGTCCAACCACGGCCAGCGGGGCGAGTGCTGGTGTGTTGACCCCTACACCGGGGTCCAGATCCCAGCAACGCCTCGAGTCAGAGGGGATCCCAACTGCTACCAGTTTCAGGAGGACCCCACCGAGGCAGATTCATAGTAGAAGTGTTTGTGTTTTCTTTAAAATAAAAAATATGAGGATTTTTCCATGAATAGAGTTATTATGTGTGTAAAGAAAGTCCCTATGTTTAAAGACTAGTTTAACTTATACTTGAACCTTTAACTAAAATAAGACACACTTAAGAACTTAAAGGAGAGTACAGCCCTGCCAAGGCCAAATAGCCTATATCACAATGTTAACAATAGAGGACAATATTACGACAAATATTGAGGACAGTTTATTCCGAGGCCCGTGCTTCAACCTTCATCCTATTTCAAGAATAATGGTCCATTATTTTTTCCTTAATCCTGCCAACAATCACCGAACCAAAAATGAAAATATAACTTTCTTGGCCTGAGGTTATGGCACTCGGACCTTAGCCCATGTATTCCTACTATGATTTAATCTAGAGAAAAAGGACAATTATGTATTTTTTTAAACGTAATGTGCTAGAACATCTGGCCACAGTAGTTTTTGTTACTTCAACTTAGCCAACTTGTTCTTTAATTTTGGGAACTATTCTAAACTGTGAGTTACACTTTTGGAATGCTAATAAGTACTAATGGATTCATAGCAGAGGGACAGTTTTCATTGTAATGAAGAAGCATGCCAGCCAGTTCATTTATAGAGGAATAAGTTGCATCATGCTTTGGCTGCCTGGACTATAATTGGTTGCTTTTGGTCATTCTATAGGATTTGTTGACAATAAAAACATCCAAATAGAATATTTACAGACTTATCTTTTAAAGCTGCATACATTTTTTTTTCCTCAAGCTCTAAACTCAACATTTGAAACAGTACTACCTTATTAGAAATGTGTCAGCAATCCAATATCCATTCCAGCAGACAGAGTAAAATTAGAATGACCTTGATTTGTGACCATCTTTATTCATATGCAATGGGACAATGTAACATCTGTCCAGTACTACACAAATAAACTGACTCCCCCTCTGCTTGAAACACCTCCATTGGACTCCTTTGTTTACTTCCAAGACATAGTGACATCACTACGTAACACTCATGCTTGTATTGGCTAGTGCTCCAACACATTGTATGCAATAGGCTAAGGGTTGGGACATCTTTAGGCAGTTAACCAATCACAACAGAGACAGCCAGCTAACCAATCAGAGCAGACTGGGCTCTGGTTTCAGATAGAAGGTGAAAAGAGGTGCTGCAGCACAGGCAGTATGTGAAAAATAAAGAGCTTTTTGAACAATAAAGCATGGAGACATGACACAGTAGAGACACTACATACAAATATGAAACCTGAAAATCAGCGTAATAAAGCCCCTTTAAGAGTATCAAAACTGCACTTCCGCTGTTCCATAAACTGATGAATAAATACATTGAGCATATTTTTTTCAAGTATATTCAAAGTGATTGTCATGAATTTCAGATTTTATTTATGTAGCTACATGTATACAAAATAAATGAAATTAATTATACCGATGTTACCTTCCTCAAGTGGAGTCACGGTAGATTTGATGCAATGTTATTGCAATACCTTTGTAAGCTCACAGGCCTGTAGTAAAGTTGTCCTCTGACATATCAGAGACATGTGTGCACAATCTCATTTCAGTGAGTTGTATCTTGTAATATCTCCCTGTTGATGATCCGACCTTGCTTCCTACATCATTTTCAGTAAAGTAATTGAATTCAACTCTGTTTTGAAAATCTTAACTAAACATGTAAGAATGTTTCTATGAATCCCCACCCATGTGTTAGCAGCCGAGAAAAGTTGTTGTTTGTCAGCAGATTTCCCGTCAGTACTTGTCAACTCCAAATAAATGTCGCTTGAGTGTGTGTGTGTGTGTGTGTGTGTGTGTGTGTGTGTGTGTGTGTGTGTGTGTGTGTGTGTGTAATATAACACGCGGGGGATACATCATTAAACAGCGCCCCTGGCCCCAAGCGACATTGTGAGATGAGGCCCCCCCCCCCAACCGACAGGAGTGACAAAAATTGTTTTGGAAACAAAGTAGGCTACTTTGCAAATATAATTCCTTTTTATTATTATTATCAACACAGTTACTTTTTTATACAGTGAGGTAAATGGTAAATGTTTACAGGTGAATACGTCTGCATTTCCTGCCAAATACTAGCCTCAAAAAGATTAAAATATAATTAATGCATGCAAATAAACTCTTCTACTAATAATAATAATCAATTCAATACTTATATTATTTATTATAATATAGTTGTAATATAGTCAAGACAAAACATGCTTATGACATGCTCAAAAACTGATATTTCTTAAATCTGTATTCAAATGTAGTTCCCTCTGTCAGCAATGTACTCAACAACATACACAATATTTCTATCAGTATTTTCTCTGTGTTGGTGGTTGACATGATGATGACTGTTAGGAGTTAAAGGGAGAGGCTGAGCCAGACCCCGGTGGCCAGAACAAATCTAAAGGGAGGGCATATGATTTTTCATGGGAGGGCACACAAAACGTCATGTGCCTGCGGGCCAAAATATATATCAAACAGCAAGGCCAACAGCATTGCGTAAAGGACGGCACACTTATCGCAAATACATACTCACCAAATAAATGGCAACATAGAAACCCTTTTGAAACATTGTGTGGCGTGGCAGCACAAACACTGGTAAATCACGAGCAAGGCACACGGATTAAGGATGGCAGCTTCCTCATCGTTGCACTCGGAGAG